CAAACGTTCCTCTAAGAAACCCCATACTGAAAAATCCAAAGGGTTGAGGTCCGGCGAGTTGCTGGGCCAGTCTTCTTTCGTGAAATGAGAGGGCAATTCGCGCCGAATCAGGTCCATTTGGTTTTCCTCCATGGGCCGGGGCCCATCCTGCTGGAAGGTCATGTTGGTTTTCCTCCAGGGATCACAGCTTCTTGAGAATCTGATCTTGGTAAACCTGGGCATTGATTTTGACCTCTTGTCGATGAAAACAGCTGGTCTCCGAATCTGCAGTCCTCCTCCCCAAACCATCAATCCTTTCGGAAAAAGACCCCGTGTCCGGATTTTCCGCTTCAAAGTGATTTTCCGATGCTGGCACGGAGGTAGTTGGTATCAAGATCGTTCCAGGCAGCGATCAATTCCCTCTCGAGCTCACCAAGATTTGTGATTTTCTTTGCCCAAACGTTCCTCTAGAACCCCATACTGAAAATCCAAAGGGTTGGGTCCGGCGAGTTGCTGGGCCAGTCTTCTTTCGTGACGTGTCCTTTCTCTTGCAATTGTTTGGCAAGCCGTTGAACAGTTCTGATGTTGGTTTTGAGCTTTCGCGAGATGGCCGCCTCCGACTCTCCGGCTTTCAAAGCATAGCGATCGCTTCTCGATGCTTTCTAAAAGCTTGCATTTCCAAAAATACACATTGAAGTCCCAGCTCCTTTTTCACAATGTCCCGAACCGACCAATCCGAGATTTTCAGCTCGTTGGCCATTTTTCCTAAGCTTCGCTTCGATCAATTCGCTGTTTGATGAGCTTCCGGATGTTTGGCGTGTTCACCGATCGAGGCCTTCCTTTTTTCGGCTTCTTCTTGATGTGTCCTTTCTCTTGTAATTGTTTGGCAAGCCGTTGAACAGTTCTGATGTTGGTTTTGAGCTTTCGCGAGATGGCCACCTCCGACTCTCCGGCTTTCAAAGCACTCGCCGATCGCTTTCACTCGATGAAGGCAAGCTTGCATTTCTAAAAATACACATTGAATGCTATGCACCATTCGAAAGAGGAAAAAAACTGAACAAAATTCATGTTTTACACAACGTAAAAGGATACTTTTAAATCGCATAAAAGTTAGTTCAAAGAGACGCGACTTTTCTCGGACTCTGTAATACTGTTTGAGCTGGGCAATTAGGATTTAAGAGTACAGTTTCCTGGTTGAATTCTTCAAAGATGTATTTACAGGGTTTACTGTTAGAGTGGCATACATTTTTGTTAATGGGGAAGAATTTTGATGTGAATGCTAGATGATCTGTTGGGTTTGTAGCTTTTGAGGAAGAGATTGGTTTGGTCAAAAAGTCTTGTCCGCATTTATGAAATCATTACTTTTTTTCGAATCACAAAGCATTTATGAAATCATTGCTTCTAAATTTAGGTCTACTATTTGGAAATGGTTTTCTCGAAAAACCGCTATATTTCCCAGGAAAAGCGGCTGGAGTTGGCGAATTGGCTCGTGCTAACCGAACAACAAGTGAGTCTTGGAATAGGGTGTGCTCCTCACGAGTAATGCGTTTTTTAAAACGAACCTTTTAAAAAAATTCGCGTACTTTTAGCGAAAATTATTGCAAAAAATTGACCCAAAAAATCACGAGCGACGACTTATTGGGTTGGTGCATGGAAAACTGCGGGGCCGAGAAAGAGGCGCATATAGCAAAGTGAGCAAAATTGAATGCTAAAATTCGAAAGATATTCTGCACTTGAAGGTATTATTAAAAGTAGCAGAAACATTTCTTTTCAAAGACACTACATCTTAAAAATATTGGGTTGGTGAATTGAGAACTGCGGGCTTTTGTCATATGTGACAGTTTGAGCACTTTCTTCAAAAGAAACCCATTTTGGTGTCAATGGAAAAGTTGTAGAGAATCAAAAATCAAGCTTATATCCAAATTTTCAGAACGATTCAAAAACTCATTTTCAAGAAATGCCAAATTTACGAATTTTCACAAAACTTGCAACAAAACTTGCATTTTAAGCGAAACTACTAAGTGTATCTTTTTGGAAAATTGGCTATAAGCCTAATTTTTGATTCTCTACAACTTTTCTATTGGCACCAAAATGGGTTTCTTTTGAAGAAAGTGCTCAAACTGGGACATCTCCAGTCCTCCATTTTTGAGTCTCACACTTGGCTCACACACAAACCAGTTTGTCACAGTTTGAGCACTTTGGGATATGGAGGTGTACTGGGAGTTGCTGGATAGCAAGATGACCCTTAATGCAATCAAATACAGTGAACAGTTGGAAAAGGTGAATGAATCCCTAAAGAAGAATAGGCCCTTCAAGTCAAAGATCGTTCTCATCCACGACAATGCGTGCCCTCGTGTTGCTCAAAACTGACTCGCTTTAAAATAAACAGCCGTGGTTGAGAACTTTTGGCACATCCCCCATACAGTCCGGAGCCTTGCCCCTTCTGATTACTATTTATTTCGGACCATGAGTAATGAGCCTGCGGGAGAACACTTCGATTCGGAAGAAGCAGTCAAAAATTGGCTCGAAAGTTTTTCAATTCAAAACCAAAATCCTACTACGAAAGAGGAATCCGCAAATTGCCTGTAAAATGGGCAGAAGTCGTCAATAATAATGGAAATTATTTGGAATGAATTCATGGTTTTATGTTCAATAAATTTTAGTTCAAAGTCCGGCAGTTTTCAACTCACCAACCCAATATATCAGACTCTTTTTAAAGAAATTCAGCCGTTGAACTAATTTGGTGGGAAATTCCCGTCGCATGTAAAGATGTTCAATTTACTCGACGTGTAAAGAGGATTACTCGTAGTTGCTCGACGAAAAAACGTTGATCAATCGAGTCAAAATGACTCATGCACATTTTACTCGAGTAATTACTTACTCGCGAGGAACGCACTCTAGTTGGGAAAAGGAGAAACGCTCAAAGTTCTTGTACTTCTCAAAATAGAGTCACAATTTTATTTATACGTAATAATTATTTCAATATTTGGTACAAATGATGACCCTTTAAAGAAAAATTATAAAAACGTAAACGCGAGAATTCCCAGAATCATCTAACCATTCTCCTCACTGAAATTCTCAAGGGATACAAAAAGTGGTTATTTAAGAAATTTTCTTTGAAAAGTACAGAAAATTCTTTGAAACTTTCTTGAGATTACGCAAAACTGATAATTGAGTGAATGATTTTTGAATTTAGGTAAAAATCTGGTTCCAGAATCGACGCTACAAGTCAAAGTTGAGAATGGAAAATGAGAAAACTACGGTTGAGTTCATTTTTTTGATTTCTTTTCTTTGATAGATCAAGAATGGAGTGTATTTTGATTAGAAAATGTAAACGTACCCTTTCTGGTTAACTAGATTTCTCAATTTTTTACAGTATGGAGTATCAGTAGGAGTATCGATATTATCGATACGGCAAGCTCATGTTTGGCCGTTCAGATCACGGCTTCTGGAATAGCTATCAATCTGCAAATTGTTTCATTGAAAAGCCAAGAATCTCAGCTTTTGATTGTTATCTCACACATAACAAATTCTCATAGTTGAGTGTCTTAAAAAGCTTATCAATATTTATCGATACTCAAATATCGATACTTTTGATATCGATAAGGTTTATGAGGTGCTTAATTATGAAAAGTCGCTATAAAATACTGAATAAAAAGTTGACATTCTTGACTTTCCAATCCTTGACCCCCTCGTACAGTCGCGTAGTCGCAAAAGTTTTTTAGTATTTCATTTTTTGCAAAGCACCCGTACTTTCAAAAAATGCGTTTTAGTATCCAATCATTTAGCAAAGAATCTTTCTTGCTTAGTTCTTTCTTAGAGTGTTAGTATCATTATTGCTTAATCAGTAGCTCTTGCTACATACCGTAAATACTGTAATAGTACCCCATCCCCATAATGACGTTGCGGAGTGTTAGGTAGGCTAGCTTTGAACGAGTGTTTCTCGACACTGGTTTATGGTACAATGCGCGGTTAGCTATCAAAAAATAGCTGAAATTCAGGGCTATTTTTTGATACCTAAACGAGCTTTGTACATAAACCAGTGTCGGACCTCGTTCAAAGCGCCCTCTCGTTGCATTGTTTATGGTACGGTATCTTTGCCATTGTTGTTTAAGTGCGCATTTCCTGGGTCGCAACACCGTCATTATGGGGTGGGGGTACTATTACAGTATTTACGGTAGCTATTCTAGAAGCCGTGATCTGAACGGTCAAACATGAGCATACCATTTTCATTGATAATCTCGAAAAGCAAGTCTAATGTGTCCATATCTTAGCTTAGCTTAGTCTAATGTGTACAAAACTTAGCACAAAATGTTTAGAACAAGCTTTTTTACTAAAAGTTAGGTAACTGAACCGAGAGATTTGATATCTAAAAGACACAACAGGTACAGAGCAGAGTCGATGGTTCTAAAATTTAGTAAACGATCCAGATTTATGTAAAGAATTCCTAGAAACTTCTCAATGAGTCCAATGAGTGTTTCTTTGACATTTCTTTGACATCATTTCTACTAAAATTGCAATAGATTCCAGGATGATTTCCCTATTAATCTTTTCATTTACAGGAAATCACGCAAGAATTTTATCGTTTCCATCAACATCACTGCTATTTTCTGCCTCAAATCCATCAAATGAATGCCAATTTTTCTCCATAAGAAGCCATAGATTAAAGATATTTGATATTTTTGTGCTTTTGTGTACCCATTTTTTTCGACGTTTTTGTGTCCGATGCTTGAAAAGCTCAAAAAGTAAACAGTAATTTTTGTACGTCATGCTTTGAGCAGCTTAGAATTGTAAACACAATGAAAAATAAAGTTTTTGAAGCTCTCGAGGAGATTCTTGTAAATTGTAGTTACCGGGAAAGGGGGACTCAATCAGGGGTTTTTTTGAAGAGGTTGGGGGCAGGGTGGGCGGTACTGGCCTGGGGGTACCCCTGCTCAGCCTGCCCCTTCTCCAACCCCACCCCTTCTCCCCCATGAATACCTCTCACCGCATCGGACTCACCCCTTCTCACTTTTGCCGCGATGCTCCTCCGACTTTTCACCTTGATCGCTCTTCTCTTCGCTCTTGTTTGCATTGTTTATGGTACGTTAGCTTTGTCATTGTTGTTTAAGTGTGTATTTCCTGCATTTAGTTTGACAGAATGTGTTCTTCAAAGACGATTTTAGAAAAATACCGTAATCCAAGTGCTAATGATATCAATTGAATCAATTGATCAATCAATTGTGAATGAAAACTAGCATTTTGAGAACTGTAATTGCTCTGGATTGCTTAAGCTTGATCTAACAAGTTTTAACTAGGTTGTAATGTTTTGTTGGATTTAAAATCGAGATTGTTTGCTTCTCTTAGAGATTCACGAGTACGGTATTTGCTAATTTCCAGGATTGTTCCTGGCTAAAGCTTGCTTTAAGCTTTGTGCCTTGTGATTTGAAGCAAGGCAAGGCCATACTCTGGCGGTGGCATAAGGCCCTACTCTGGGGATACGGTTCAGGCCTTATGCCACCGCCAGAGTATGGCCTTGCCTTACTACAAGTCACAAGGCTACAAATGAAGCGTAAAGCAAGCTCATTGGCAGAGCGTTCGCCCGGTGAGCGAGCGCTGGAAGATCCGCGGGTTCGAATCCCGTCCATCTTTTGTATTCCTAGCCTCAACCCATAAAAGAACGTGTCCAACTTTGTTTCTCATTGAAGCGAGGGTTCTGGAGGCAAACTAAGAGTGTCATTGTGGAAATCATTGTGGATTTTTCCTTGAATAAGTTGCTTTGATTTGACTGGTTAAAAGCCTCAGCTCACTGACAAAATGAGATCCGTTTATGCTGAAATTTCAGCTGAAATCTCTAGATATCCAGCTACTATTCTTCAAAAGAATTTCTATATTTGAAAACTGAAAGCAATCCTTGTCTATTTAGCAAGAAAAACAAGTCTAACCATTAACACGTTTGCCAAAATTTGGTCAGTTCTTTTACCACTCAAGCTCTAACTATAAGCTGTCAACTTTGATTCAATCTTTGTAATCTTAATTATAGTACTTCTAAACCTTAATCTATGATAATTTAATGTAAAATCACTAATCTGTTAATCCCCAAATTCCGATTGATATTCCGTTTAATGTCTGAAAAAAAAATTCAAAATTTCGAAAATTCCATGCCTGATCTTTGAAATTTCAACACTGACGTTTTTTCTGACCATTGCTAATGATAATTAGTGTTTTTTTCATGATTCTAAGAATTTTAAAAGTCAGACAGAGTAGATTAACTGGAAAAGTGAAATTAAAAAAACTGGGGAAAGATCGAGATTAGTTGGGGATTCTAAGAGATTCTGGTCTAACCCTTTCCAGAGACCAATTGAATTCCCATCTATTTTCTTTGATCCTTTACCCCTTCTCTATCCATTAGAGAATCATTTCCCACAGACAAGAATCATAAATCAGAAGCAGAAACCAATCTTTAGACAAGATTTTGAACAATTTCATTACCTTGAAGCTAGTCCAATGAGTGTTTGAGTCCAATGAGTCCAATGAGTCCAATGAGTACTAGAATCAAGAAAAGCACCACCTCTGACACACTTGAGAATTGGATAGCTGATTTGACGACTGTAGTAGTAGTTTGACGAGATTTTTCGGTTAAACCCATTCTTGTGCAATCGATTTTCATAAGCATTACCTAAAATTTGACAAATCATAAGTTTCTTACCCAATTTAAACTTGTTCACAGTGTTCTCGAAGAATCATTCAACTTCCGGTGATGTTTGCTCGGAATTAGCAAACTTTTTCCTTAATCTAATAAGGAAATTTGTCTGTTTTGAATACCCTAAAAAGTGCCCAAACGGAAATTGGAGTCTCGAGTACGAATTGACGTTTTCGGAAATACAAAAGATGGAAATATCAGTTTTTTAAGCTCAAAAAAGATTCATGAATGTAAGAGATACAATTTCGATTATTCTTTTTATTATTATATCTGGATTTACTCGGATATCAAGATCCAAATATCTCCAAATATATAAATCTGAAGATCCAGAGAAATCCGGAAATAAGCTTCCAAGAAGCATGCAAATTGTTATCAGCGAAGTTGTTTAAACAAATTTAAAATAAAGTGGGACTTTGTTATTTGAGAATTTATACAAACTTTTATATTTTCCAGGAGCCGATGAGCAAGCACTTGAATCAGAAGATGCAGATAATGTGGCTCCATTGAGGCTCGTTCGATTAGCGGTTTGTTTTACTAGTTTTTTTTACTAGTTTTACTAGTTACTAGTTTTTACTAGTTGACCAATCAAAGAACTTATAGCAAAGTAAAACAAATAATAAGGAAATCTAAAAGAAAAAAAGACATTGATAACTAGTTTTATGTTTAAAATCTTCGATACTGAAGTTTTTAAAAGGCTATTACAGTCGAGCCTCTCTATAACGTAACTCACGGGACGGCTATAGCTTACGTTATATAGAGGTTTACGTTATATAGAGTGCCGTTTTATATAGCTTAACGTCGGCCGGGACCGGTCACGCCTTACGTTATAGAGAGGTTTACGTTATATCGAGGTTCGTTATAGAGAGGTTCGACTGTATTTGTAAATTAAACGTAAACCTAGACTAACGAGCTATTGAATACCACGAAATGTCAAGAGTATTGGGTTGGTGAGTTGAAAACTGCGGGACTTTGAACTTTGAACTAAAATTTATTCAACATAAAACCATGAATTCATTCCAAATAATTTCCATTATTATTGACGGCTTCTGCGCATTTTACAGGCAATTTGCGGATTCCTCTTTCGTAGTAGGATTTTGGTTTGTGTGTGAGACAAGTGTGAGACTCAAAAATGGAGGACTGGAGATGTCCCAGTTTGAGCACTTTCTTCAAAAGAAACCCATTTTAGTGTCAATAGAAAAGTTGTAGAGAATCAAAAATTAGACTTATAGCCAAATTTCCAAAAAGATACACTTAGTAGTTTCGCTTAAAATACAAGTTTTGTGAAAATTCGTAAATTTGGGCATTTCTTGAAAACCAGTTTTTGAATCGTTCTGAAAATTTGGATATAAGCTTGATTTTTGATTCTCTACAACTTTTCCATTGACACCAAAATGGGTTTCTTTTGAAGAAAGTGCTCAAACTGTCACATATGACAATAGCCTACAGTTTTCAATTCACCAATCCAATAGTTGATCAATCACAGAACTTTTAGCAAAGTAAAACAAAGAATAAGAAAATCTAAACGAAAATAAAACATTGATAACTAGTTTTATGTTTAAAATCTTAGATACTGAAGTTTTTAAAAGCTTTTTATTTATAAATTCAACCTAAACCTAGACTAACGATCTATTTTAGCTTTTTCTAAATAAATTTCTCCTTTTTAAAGTAATTTTTATTAGAAAACTGTTTGCTAAAATCTAGAAAGTGATTCTTTTTTTAATAATAAAGTTGAAATTGATTGATTCTTTTGTTTTCGAGGGTAAATTGCGATCACTTTTTCCTTTCATAATTCATTTACTCTTGTAGTCTTGTAAATTGATCAAAAAGCAAAAGAAAACTTTCTTATAATCAAGGAACTACGAAATTCCAATCTCAATTTACATTTGCTCATTTCCTCAGTGATTTGAGTGGATAATTCTCACATGTGAGTCGTCTCGTGACGAAATTTGAGCCAACTACTAAAGAAATTCCTTGATCTATCTGAGTCTTTTCTTTATTCTCAATGACGTTCCCTTCTCACAACCCCAATTTTCCCCCTAACCATCCAATTAGCAGAAAAGAAGCGCTAACGAAAAAGTAACACATCAATTCATGTTTTTTTGAAAGATTGAATAGTACAATTTAAGTAGAAAGTAGAAGAAATCTGATTTTTGAAAGCTTACAAAGTTTTTTAAAGCATTCAAAACAATTCAATAAACAGTTATTAGTGTTTTGAAGTGGTTTGCATTTAATTACTGTTTATAAAAACGTCAGAAGGGAAACAGAGATAAAGAAAGCTGAAAATTTGAACTTTCAAAGCTAACAAAGATAATTTGCTATTTGGCTTTTGCAGTGGACTGAGCTTAATGAGTTGTTTGGCCATTAGCAAATGACCATTGGCCATTTGTTTGGTTAAGTAGTCGTATGTTAGTTGATATTTACGTTAAATAGGTAAATCTACCCATAACTCTTGCCAAAAACCTAGATTATCACTATTACATTGGGTTAATGGCACTTATCGATATCAGCACTTAACAGTAGGTACTGGTTAAGCCTAGTTTAGTACTAGTTAAGCCTAGTTAGTACTAGTTAAGCCTAGTTAGTACTATTGGGTTGGGGAGAATGAGTCGGCGCCGAAAATGAAAAAAATGTCTAAAACTTCTATTCGACTTCGTCAAATAATATGCGTTTGATATCAGTAGAATGATTAACTAATTCTCTACAAAATGACATTTAAAAGAAAATTCAAACAGCGCCTCCGCTCAAGAAAAAAGCCATTTTTTCACAAAAACTACAAACTGTGATCTAGAAAAAACCATTGGTGGGATCTTCCTGCAAATTTGGCAACTTAAGTAATTGAATGTGCTCTATCTTTTTTATATAAACACCAAAGAAGGTTTATGTGAAAGAAACTGTTCAAATGATGAGTCGGACTCTTTGCCATTTTAACCAGCTGCGTTTGGAAGTTCATAAACTCCACGAAAGAAAAGCTTTGTGGAATCTCTCAAAAGTGATTTTGTAGAGAAATAGTGGATCCTTTTGATGAAACCAAACGTATGTTTAAAGAAGGCTTTATGTGTGCAAAAAGTCCCTTTAAAGTTGGGCGCCGACTCATTCTCCCCAACCCAATAGTTAAGCCATTAAGTTCCAAACGAAAGCCTTGGTGGTCTTGAAAATTGTTTGAATCATTTTACACATTAGCAGAAAAAGTTTGTCCGTGAGCCGAACCAGCGAGCAAAAATGCATAGAACGTCCACACTAATCACTAGGCTATAAGCCACTTTTTGAGAGAGCGCAATTGCACATTAGAAGTGTAATTCCATATTAAACGCAAATGGTGTGCTAGAAGTTCGAGAAAACCTTCCAAATGATCAACATTGAGGCCATTTTAACCGATTTCCACATAGCTTTTCGTGGTTTTTGATTGCATATTCGGAATCAGCTCATTTTTTTCCTATAAACTCGGCCGTAACGCGGCGGTAACTCTTCCCTTCCCTAGTGAAGCAATTGCAATAATCCTGTCGCACTATGTACACGCTATTTGAAGTGATTTTGAATATTTTCCCTATCAACTCATATCTAAAAACACAGGATTTCCTTTCCCGCCTTGAAACTTTTCCCAAAATCCTTTCGTCTAGTCATTTGAAACTAGAAAACACGATATTTTTACTTAAAAATTCCCGACCATGACTCTCCGCCGAAGTTCAGCATTTACACAATGGGCTGAATCTAAAATCTTTTTGACGAGGCAAAGAAGTTGAATGGCTGAATTGCTTTCCCCTGAAAACATCCTTCTTTTGCTCTACACGCAATTCCGCATAAATTTCCTTTAAGTTCATGGGATTTGAGGTCAAGAAACTTGTTTGAAATCGGAGAAGCCTTGTTTTTTTTCCGGTTAGCTTTCAAATTTGTTTCCGAAATCTTGGAACAACCGAAGTTCCTTGTCAAAAAAGATAGTCAACAATGGCTGATAAGTAAACTTTGAAAGAAAAATGGACGATTTTTTGAGCCATAGCCAACTATTAGGTTGATGCATAAGTCTTTTCGTTCCTTTTCGTCTGCCGTTTCAAGCCAACAAATGCACCAATTAAACTACGGTTGATTTCATTAGAAAAACGAATTATTTTTCTGCAAAATAACATTAAAACGGGTTTAAAAATATTGAATGCCTGGATTTTCTTGAGAGTATGAAGTCGGGTAGTCAAAAAGGGCTAACTCGATGATGCGGTTTAGACACCTTAGCTAAAGATGCGGTTTAGACACCTTAGCTAAAGAAAACCTATCTTCGTGTCAATAGATAAAAGATAGAGAAAAAAAACGTTTGATATTTCGCCAAAATTTCAGAGAAATTCATTCAGCCAATTTTTCCGTAGAGTTTTTTATAGATTTTTACGAAAAAGGCGTTTTTCACTCTCGAATTTGCTTGAAAGTGAACCGAAATTCATTTAAAAAGATGCAAATTGAACAAAAAAACACTTTTTTTATAGAGCAAACTATAGATTAATTCGTGAATTTGTTACTTTTTAACAGAAGTACGAAAAAAACGAAAAGACTTATGCATCAACCTAATACTAAACTAGCCATCTACTCAACCAGCCAACTACTCAACTAACCAACTACTAAACTAGCCAACTCCTGAACTAGCCAACTACTGAACTAGCCAACTAATACGACTACTGAAACAGCTTTGTAAAACAGCAAATCACGCTGTTTTAGCTTTAGATTATGGTGACTCAAACAGCTTTTTCGTTTCTTGATCATTCTTTTTTAGATTGTAGCTAATCGTTTGGTCATCTGACTTTTTTTTCTCCAAATGAATGACGATCGAGAACCCTTTCCCTTTAGAAAGTCGAAAATTGAGAAATTAGATTTTCTCTCTTTTGATTTTGCAACACTTTTTGACTTTAGTGAAGAGCAATTTCTGGGGAAAAGGGGGAAAAGTTGCTCTTTCGGAAAATTGACTCAAGAGTCAAAAATAGAAAACGTTTTCCCACACGACAGCTCTTTTTTTTGTTTTCCTCTTTGTTGATTGGGGTTGATTCAAAAGGGAGAATTTCAATTTTTGGAAGATTTTTATTCCCTAAAGATTCGCAAATTCAATGATACGATAACCTTTTTGATGTAAAGTTTAAAAGAAAAAAATTAAAGAAATCTTCAAACACCCACTCAAAAATGAAAACTTTCAGCTAATTTATAGGGTAAAATGACATTTTTGAGGTGATAATTTCATTTTTAGAGTATTAATGTTTAGATGTTTAGCTGAAATTAGCTGAAATTAGATGTTTAGGGTAATTAGTTGTTGACTAAGTGAACCGATTTCGAAATAACGCTTTAAATTCATAGTTTTACAGGGTAAACTTGAATGAATCTGTGAAAAAAGAAGCTGAAACTTGTTAGAAAATGTTCCGGAGTAATGCATTTTCTGAAAAATACCATAATCTATCCTACAGATTTTGCTTTGATTTAAAAATTCTGAAGAAGAGCCAGAACAAGGCTGAGAAAAAGCTCGTACAGACGGATGGACAGACATTGCTCTTTTATACTCTTTTATATAGTAGATCATTGTTTTGAGTCAGTCAACAGTCAGTCAGTCAGTCATGTTTCAAATAGACATCAAAATCGCTTTCCAAATTAACCATCCTTTAGAAAAGCATTACTTTCGAACACACTTTCCGCTTTATTCATAGTCACAGAAGATTTTGATTTATAACAGAAGATTAACAGAAGATTTTGATGTCTATTTGAAACATGATACGTTGACTGACTCAAAACAATGATCTACTATATAAAAGAGTATAAAAGAGCAATGTCTGTCCATCCATCCGTCTGTACGAGCTTTTTCTCAGCCGTGTTTTAGCCAATAAAGCTAAAACTTCTCTAGAAAACCATAGAATATATTGTAGTTGTGCCATTTAAATAAAAAATTAAAAAGTCGAACTTGAGTGGCAACACAAGGGGTCGAACTCGCGTTGTAAACAAGCGCCCTCCCGACTGCGCCACGGCGACCAAAAGGCCAACCCAACATTAAGCCAGAAAAACCCGCCGTTAAGCAGGTTTTCGGGCTGGTGTTTTTTGGTTTTTGGCAATGAATAACTGAAAACAATTACCATTGAATTCCGGAGTGACACCTGACTTCTTTGTTCAACATTCTCATTCATTTCCCAAAGGAATCAATCCCCTTGAATGGCCAATAACTCTTGATTCACGAATTAAATTGTAAAACTGATTATTTGTAATCATTCTTGGCATAGACCCATTAAAAAACCCATTAATCCGGGAAAGAAAAAAAAATGAAATGATGGGAATTGGAAGAACAAAAATGGAATGGAATTTGGAGGGGGAAATGGAAAGATTAGGAATCAAAGGGGATCTTTCTTCTGGAATCAAAGCGATCTTTGTCCTCTTTTGCACGTGATTTTCGAATTCAATGTGAGTGAAAGTATGTATTTTCGTATTTTTAGAACACTTTAAAAGGATTTAGCTGCAGTACTGGGCTCTGTTCAATTAGATTTACAAAACTAGTTCTAATTCTTTCAATAGAAGACAGGATAATCGATTCAAAGTGATTAAAAGTTATATAATTAAAAGTAAAATCTACTTTAGATAAATATAGTACTCTGAATCTGAGAAATCTGGCTTAAAAATTACTCTAATGGATCTGACTCTCAGTACTAGACGTAGTACTGTAAGCTATTTAGTAGTAAATGACCAAAACAGACATGCTTCAGTCATATATTCACCGCTTTCTCTTTCTTGTAAACAAAAACTTTCCATCTTACTCAACCAAAGAAAAGAATGAATTAAAAAGAAATGAATGTCAGAAATCGACACTCGGAAATTACTGAACAATTGCTTTTCTGTTTTTTCAAAAAAACTCATTACTTATGCAACTGAATGACTTGAATGGGATCTTTAAATAAATGAAGACATTCTAATTTTGGAGATTCCAATTTTAGACATCGAATTTAACCTCATTCGTGACGCAGAAGAGAACCAAAAATAACTAAAAAGCTAATTTCAGAACTCTGACGCTGACATAGATTTACCACAAATCTACAAGCGATGGGCCACACAGGTAAGCATTTTGAGTTTGAATTAAGAAATATTTAGCTTGGGTACCTTAGGTAGTTTAAGTAGTTTAAGCTTTATGCTCTTTGACTTTGACTCTTTGACTAAATTCAAGTCCAACAGGGATCCTCCAAAAGTAATTTTCTAAAGTTTTACTTTCTAAATCTTTTTATAAAGCTATTCTAGAGATTTTTCTAAAACTTTAGAAAAGTTTTGCTAAAGTCTGAACCACAAAAAGTCTAAGAAGCCAGGTCAGGGCTTGGCTTTTGACTGGCCTGGCATGACTGTCGAGATATAGAGTAAAATAGACGCTTTCCCAAACTCCGAAACTCGCCACGGAATTTGGAAGGGTACGGAAACTACGAGACGGAATTTGGAAGGACAACTTTGAGACAAATTTTCTCTATGTTCTTATACATAAGTATACAAAACAAATTCGACTTTTCTACAACCAAATTTAATGAGGATTCTTTTAAAAGCAATTACAAGTCGATTCAATTTCTATACCTCCAGTTACAGACTGATTGACAGAAGATTAGGGCCGGATTGAGCATCTTTCCCATGTAGAACTTTTAAAATACAAATTGGTTCAATAACGTAGTAGAAGAGAGATAACTTGTCTTTGATGAAGTTCGAAAAGTCTATATTTTCATTGAAAAACCTCCAGGTTCGATTCGGGAAGCGAGCGGCGAACAGCTGGGCCTCGTCTGTGCGATTCGGCTAGAGGAAAGGTTGGTAAGTTTCTTGAAAAATACCAAAAATTGAAAAACAAATCTTTTACATTCAATTTACATTCAATTTACAAGTATTTAAATTCAAATTTCAGGCTCTTCTTTCTCCAAAATTCTCTTCCAAATGGCGCTACACATTCACCTCTTTTCACGATCAACCATTTCCATCATTTTTTTGGCCATTTCAAGCGATCCTGGGCTCTTTTTATGTAAAAATAAATAAATTTCTATAATTTTGCATTTATTCATTGAATTTGATTAATGAAATTTTTGTTTAGTCGATGAGATTTTTAGCTTTTTCTTTGCTTTTCTTTTGATCTCTGTTAGTCCTCAACAAAGTTTTGTTTTTTTTTGAGTTTTGACTTGATTTTTGTCTTCTCCATTTGCCAAATAAATTATGCTTGTTTTTTGTTGAATTGAAGACAAAGATGACAAAGATGAAAGTTCCTAATTTAAAGTTTAGCTTTAAAATCTAAAAGCTAAGAAAATCTGCTCTTTATGATCTTGCAAACGCCTATTTCCTGGCACACTTGTTGGGCTTTGTGCTTTGTGCTTTACTAAACATGAGCAATATGCCAGAAAGCAAGTGTTTTTATGAATTTTGTTGTGCTTCGGTCAAAAGATCTTTTGATTTAGCTGATCTGGCTTAGAAATGCCTACGATTCTGGGGTTGTTCCCTTTCGGACAGTCATATCTGGGCACTGAAACTTGCTAGCAATCTGAAACTTTTTCTATCAAAAAGCCTAGATTCTCAGCTTCATTTTGATACCAATAGCATAGCAAAAGGCTTTAAAATATTACTCAAAAACCTTAAAATGACTACTCTTAACGAGGTCCAATTTAGGTCTCGTTAGAAGCCCTTTTTAGAATACTTTTTTGCAGACTTTTGTGAAGTTTTTGGTATCAAAATGAAGCTGATAATCTAAGCTTTCTGATAGACAAAGTTTCAAATGGCTAGCAACTTTCAGTGCGCTGATTTGGTTGGTCAAACTTGAAGCCTTGTTAAGCCTTGTTAACAAGACTAGTCCGGCTTTGCACAGTCAAGGAGGAAACCCAGTGTACTAGAAAATCGATGTTTGGGTAAATACAAAGTACAGGTAAATGTTTAAAATGATTGAAGCAATATTTAGCATGAATATTTAGCTCTTCACGCAAATCCTGGCATTTTTAAACACATCATTAAGGTCAAAACTTTCCTAGAAAGCAGACAATGGGATTTCTAATGATTAGCGACAATGCTTGCTCAAGCCAAGCGCTTTCTAATTGAAATTTTCTATCACAATCATTTTGGAATCTTGTTTTTGAGAGAATTTCATTGAAATCCGTGAAATTTTCTGAATACTTGAGTGTGGTTTTTCTAAGGAGCACAAGACACGACACCCAGCCAGATAGAGGACGATTTCACTAATTGGACAGCTCATTTTATGAAAGGCAACGTTTTTTTTCCAGTAAATAAGACACCAACCAAAAGAAAAGGATTCATATTACCGTTTTCTTGAAAACGTTTTCTTTTGGATTTCTTTTTGGATTTCTTTTCTTTCAGAATTTCTCCGGAGTCTTCCTTTCAATGTTTTTTTCTTTTAAAAGTATGTGGGAGGGTCGGGATTTATGATGAAAAATTCATTGGGATTGTACTTAGAGACTTGGAACACTTGAGCATTGAACAATGTTTTGCAAAGTTGAAAAAGTTATGCAAAGCGATTGAAACACATTGTGATTTGGATAAGAAAACGCAATTTCAACGTTTTATTTTCTTTAGAAAAAGGAAAAATTAGGAAAATTAGGAAATTTGTCTTGCTAAAGGATCCTGACACTCTAAAAACTCGTTGTCAACATATACCGTAAGAAATCGAGATCCACTAATGTCTGACTTTATCAAGCACTCGATAAAGTCAGACATTAGTGGATCTCGATTTCTTACGGTATATGTTTACACCGAGGTGTTATTGGGTTGGTGAATTGAAAACTGCCGGACTTGCCGGACGGGTGAGGGAGCGATCGGAAAGGAAAATCAAGAGAACACCAAGCCACATCAAGATTAATCATCTCGATCTTCACGGAAATCATCCGGTGTTTCTTTTTCATTGATTTTCCCCAAACAAGTTCGGCAAGCATAGGAGAAAATCAGTAGAGTCTAATAATTCCAGTTTTAACTTTTTGTTTTTGATTTTTTTAGCCCGCTCAGAGAGACAGTCGGATACCCCATTCTCCTTTCGGATCTGGGGCGCGGTCATCAACGGTGGTGCTCTTAAAGGGCAACCAACCGTTCTTCACGCTCTCCGCCTGCCCATTCCCAATCATCGCAGGTGCAGGGTGTTGCAAAAATGTGGGTAAAGCGAAATACAGACTACAGAAATGATCCTGTGAAGTATGATTTCGAAGAGAGGGGGAAGGGGTGACCTATCTACCAGGACCGTGTGCCAAAAAGCGAGCGATTACGCTTGTGCACAGAGAACAATTGGACCCAGATTAGCTTGCAATCAAGCCTTTGCAATCAATCCCCCATTCATCTTCTTGGATCGATCTAGAAGATTTTTCTTCAAAAATGACAACTAATCCTTTATTATATCGGGAAATCCTTTCAAATTATTCTATGAATAGATTGGGGGAAAGGTTTAGCGTTTAGCCGAAAAATTTGCATATTAATCATTTGGGGGCTGGTTCACCTGAGCGGCTTTCTTGAGAGCGAACACATTTGAGGAATGGGCGAAAGATTGGATGGCCTGGGGAAAAGAAAAGTCGATAAAAAGTCTTCAGTAAAGGTTACGGTAATGGATGATAGGCTGGTAATGGGATTTATATGATACCTGTCAACATTGTGGTGCAACGACGGATAAAGCCGAATGAGGAGACTAAAGAAAACAAAGGAAATGGTGGATTTGGCCAAAAAAAATTACTTTTAAGGCATAAATTTGGTTCGTGGACATGAAGAATGATAAATTTGACATTAAAAAGACAAATTTTGCTGAAAACAAAAGATAAATGCAAAAGAAGAGATCATATTGGGTTGGTGAATTGAAAACTGACTACTAAACTTTATTGAACATAAAACCATCAATTCATTCCAAATAATTTCCATTATTATTGACGACTTCTGCTCATTTTACAGGCAATTTGCGGATTCCTCTTTCGTAGTAGGATTTTGGTTTTGGATCGAAAAACTTTTCGAGCCAATTTTTGACTGCTTCTTCCGAATCGAAGTGTTCTCCCGCAAGCTCATTACTCATGGTCCGGAATAAATAGTAATCAGAAGTAGAATAACGTAGTAGAAGAGAGATAACTTGTCTTTGATGAAGTTCGAAAAGTCTATATTTTCATTGAAAAACCTCCAGGTTCGATTCGGGAAGCGAGCGGCGAACAGCTGGGCCTCGTCTGTGCGATTCGGCTAGAGGAAAGGTTGGTAAGTTTCTTGAAAAATACCAAAAATTGAAAAACAAATCTTTTACATTCAATTTACATTCAATTTACAAGTATTTAAATTCAAATTTCAGGCTCTTCTTTCTCCAAAATTCTCTTCCAAATGGCGCTACACATTCACCTCTTTTCACGATCAACCATTTCCATCATTTTTTTGGCCATTTCAAGCGATCCTGGGCTCTTGGTCCGGACTGTATGGGGGATTTGCCAAAACTTCCCAACCAAGGCTGTTTATTTTAGAGCGAGTCAATTTTGCCACATGAGGGCGTGGAGGAGAACGATCTTTGACTTGAAGGGCCTGTTCTTCTTTAGGGATTCATTCACCTTTTCCAACTGTTCACTTTATTTGATTGCATCAAGGGTCGTCTTGCTATCCAGCAACTCCCAGTACACCACTTCCTCCATATCCCAGAGTGCTCAAACCGTGACATATGACAATAGACAATACGATTTTGGTTTGTGTGTGAGACTCAAAAATGGAGGACTGGAGATGTCCCAGTTTGAGCACTTTCTTCAAAAGAAACCCATTTTGGTGTCAATAGAAAAGTTGTAGGGAATCAAAAATTAGGCTTATTACCAAATTTCCAAAAAGATACACTTAGTAGTTTCGCTTAAAATGCAAGTTTTGTTGCAAGTTCTGTGAAAATTCGTAAATTTGACATCTCTTGAAAAACAGTTTTTGAATCGTTCTGAAAATTTGGATATAAGCTTGATTTTTAATTCTCTACAACTTTTCCATTGACACCAAAATGGGTTTCTTTTGAAGAAAGTGCTCAAAATGTCACATATGACAATAGCCCGGAGTATTCAATTCACCAATCCAATAGAATGGCTTCACGCGATTCCTAAGATTTAATTACCCATATTTCGACTAAACAGCTACACAGGTAAAGGGTAAAGGGTAAAGCTAAAGATTTTATAGTGTGTCAATGCTTTTCAAATGCAGGTGTTCACTCGATGGCACTAAAAACTTGACGAGCTCTGATAAAAGGATCGATTTGGGGAAGAAAATGGAGAAGAAACAAGCACTAAACCCACGAAAAGGAATTGTTTTTAAAGCTTTAGAATATTTGCAAATATCCCTTGACAATGAATTGGTGTTGGCGCCCAGACATCAATATCCAACTCAAACCTTCACCCAAAAATTATCGTGGCTGTTGCGGGTTGTTGCCTTCAAAAGTTAAAATATTCAATTATCCATTTAAAGCATTATTTAGATTGGTTTCTTTTTGATTTCATTTGTGAATTTATTCTTTTTACTATTCATTCAATATCGTCTATTCGTGGTTCCAAAACTTTTCGATGGTACATTGCAATTGGTGAGTTTCGTCAGCTTTTCAATACTTTAAAGCACTTATTTTACAATAGAAATATTAGAAGTAGAAGAAGTAGAAGTATTAGAAGTAGAAGTACTAGAAGTACAATAGAAGTATTGGGTTGGGGAGAATGAGTCGGCGCCGAAAATCAAAAAAATGTCTAAAACTTCTATTCGACTTCGTCAAATAATATGCGTTTGATATGAGTAGAATGGTTAACTAATTCTCTACAAAATCACATTTAAAAGAAAATTCAAACAGCGCCTCCGCTCAAGAAAAAGCCATTTTTTCACAAAAACTACAAACTGTGATCTAGAAAAAACCATTGGTGGGATCTTCCTGCAAATTTGGCAACTTAAGTAATTCAATGTGCTCTATCTTTTTTATATAAACACCAAAGAAGGTTTATGTGAAAGAAACTGTTCAAATGATGAGTCGGACTCTTTGCCATTTTAACCAGCTGCGTTTGGAAGTTCATAAACTCCACGAAAGAAAAGCTTTGTGGAATCTCTTAAAAGTCATTTTGTAGAGAAATAGTGGATCCTTTTGATGAAACCAAACGTATGTTTAAAGAAGGCTTTATGTGTGCAAAAAGTCCCTTTAAAGTTTGGCGCCGACTCATTCTCCCCAACCCAATACATCAAGTAAAACAGAATACCTCTAAAAGTCTTTCTTTTAAGCTAAATTTGCATACCGTTAGATTGTATAGACGTTAGACTCAATTTGCATTCAGCTCATATCTTCGCTGAGTGAAAGGGACTTTCTAGATGGCAGCCGGAAACTTAAAACACTCCTAACTTTTCCCAGAAAGCTGTCTTGCCAATTTTGAAAGCAGATTCGGAATCTCGATGAAAAACTGCGTAAGATGAGCTAGATCTCATTACAGAAGACATACTAGATCTCATTACAGAAGACCAATATTTAGCATATGACCGGTCATATCCATTTTCTTGCAGATCATCTCCATTTTCTCCCTAACACTGTGCATTTTTCTGTTCATTGGGTTGATTTTTGGCTTGCGGAGTGAAAAGCCGTTATACATGCAAGTTTACATCATTCAAATGGTGAGTTAACTTTCGAAAAACTTAGCTAAAGAAATTCAGATCCTAGCTTCAATATATTTTCTGATAATCTTTATGATATCATTTTATTTGATTGGGATGAATGTTGGGTGAGTTGGAGTGACTTTTGTAAGAACATTCTATTTCA